GTCTAGGAACGCCATACGCAGCTCATATTTTAAATTTGTTAGTTTCTCGTTGAAAGCTTTCTTTTGACCCGAATATGTCTAGGGTTTTCGCTAAACAGGTCACACCCTTCCATTGTAAAGGAAAGTAAATCGATTTTTTCAAAAAAATTTTCAATAAAGGAAGACACATGAAGTGAAGTCGATGCGCTTTTTTAATATTATGCCGCTAACAAATCGTAAAAAAAACAAGGAACGATCCCTCATTTTGTTTGGAATTTTACGTTCTTTCAGAGGGAACTTTAAAAAAAATGAACTTCTATAATGGTTTCTAGAACTTGAAACTTACCTTGTTTCGTTTCCGGGACAAGTTTCCTATATAATGTAGTTGACAAAGAAATTTATTGATTGATATTTAGATTTTAATTCTTATTGTTATATTGTGGTAGTGAAACAAAAACAGTATTTGACTGTGTTATCAATCGAAATTATGATTTTTTTTTTCATTGCAAGTCAAGTTTCCTTTATAAAAAAAAAAAGAAAAAGAGAAAAAGAGAAAAAGTCGATGAATGTCATGTATATGTTCTATTAAACTACTAATAACTCTTTAACTTGTTCAATACCAGTAATTGGATCAGGTTGAATAAGTGTTCCATTAAAATGAAGTTTAATATGTTGTATTAATCTATTTGATGATGTTGTATGAACATTAAATGAACAAAATGGACATGTTTTATTGTTATGATAATTAATAACATGTATTGTTAATTGTTCAAGATTTTTATTATTTGTATTTGAAGATGGAGAACATAATGGACAATCAAATTCATTTTTAGTTCGACAAACTCTCATATGATTATTATCATCATAATCATAATCATAATCATAATCATCATCATCATAATCAATATCAAATTCTTCATCATCATGTTCAAGACGACGATGAAGATTTAATGCTTCACAACGATCACATTGATATGAACATAATGGACATTGATATTGTTCAATAATATGTGCATTTGATATTTTTGATGCATTATTAAATAAATTTTCTATTTGACTAGTTGAATGAATTAATGTCATATGACGAATCATTGAATTATGTGATAATGTTGTATAAGAACAAAGAGAACAAATAATACCTTGACCAGTTAAATGAATTGATATATGACGTTCCATTAACGAATAATTTGAATGTTTATAAGGACATACTGAACATAAATAATTGACTGTTGAACTTTCATCATATAATTCATCATTATCAATATTATATTCTTCTTGTTCAACTTGTTTTAATTTTTCTTTTGATAAATTTAATTCGGTTTTTTTAATATTTATTGATGATTTAAGTGAAAGATCTAATGGATCATTATCATTATCATTATCATTATTATTATTGTTATTATTATGTGAAGGTGATGTTGTTGTTAATAATAAACGAGAAACAATATTCGACGAATTTGTTAATTGTTTAAACTAAAAAATAATTAATTAATTAATTTAATTATTTAATATAATAATTAATTTAAAAATTTTAAGAGAAAATATTTAGAAAGATTTTATCTGAGAAAAAATACTTTCGACAAGTCAAAATCTAGAATTTTTTTTCTTTTTTACAATTATGATCTTACAAATTAAATCGAAACTTTTATTAAATAATAGTAAAGTTTTAATAAATGTGATTGAAAATAAATT